GAGGCACTTGATGTCATGCTACAAATTTGCTAAAGGAATTTTGTCAGACTCTGAGTACCCACTCTACCCGCAGCTCCAAACTTGTGTCTCCACAGGTAAAACAAGAAGTCTTTCCAGAAGACTTTATGCACATACGTCTGAGTATAAAAATTCCACATTACTATATCTGACACGTACTTTATGTAATGAAAATAGTGTTAGGCACGGACTAACTAACTAACCTTCTTTGCACTACTAAATAAACCATTTCCTCCACCCTTATAGTACCAAACTTTATTGTTATTGTATTTCTTATACTTATAATCCTCTCAATTTTTTGTTTTTATTTATTTATTTTTCATAAGTGTGAACATCGTTTAAGCTGTGTTACCACTGTTAATCTTGTATTTCCCATCACTATACTACATCAACAGAACATTAGATTCAATACTCTATAGTAACATGCTAAAATTTTCAAACTGAATCGACAATACTGTTTGAAACAAACTCACTGTTATTATTATTATTATTATTACTATATTTAATATTCTCAATTCGTGCTTAGAATATTTTTGACTTTATATCGTAAACGTGGACAAATTCCTCTGGTTGCTTTTGTTTAATTTTTGATTTTATATATTTTCTGAGTAAATCGGATGCAAAGGTGTTGTGACAAATGCTGAGAATTCCATTCTGTATTATAAGTACTGTTGTTTTTGGAATAAAGTTAATTATTATTATTATCATACTTACATATATATGCTTCTTTCAACTGTAACGCTATTGATCTCAACAAGCTGATGTTATTCAGGGAAAAACACATCACTACTGTCAAAAACAATTAATTTTTAAATGTTACGTGTAACTGTAGAGCCATATGAGGGGGAAATTATCGAAAAAGAATATTCTTTGCTCAATCTCTTCTGTTCACATTCATAGAACACAGGTTTACGGAATTATACAATTGTCGAACGACTTCTCTCATTTGTGGAAGTTATTCGATGAGACTGAGAATTTAAAAATAAACTGCATTTCGCAAACAAAAGCCTCATAAGAATTCAGTCCTTACTGGGTCACTTATGATCTATGCCACAAGAGGAAGGTGTCAATATTTTTTGTAATCTTGGGAAAATGAATTTTCCTGTACAATCGGTTGCTCAAGTGAAAGACGAAGTACCTAAGTTAGTCAGCTCTTATTGCATCCATCAATACAGCTATGCTTGTGAAGCCACTTATATTGGCCGCTGCGCACTAAGAAATTAATATTTCGCGCTCCGGAACACCTACCAATATGTGGCAAAATAAAAATGTTTTGAAGACCCTCATCAACAGTTCGATATTGGATTACCTAGTCCGAACAGACCTCAGTGCTACCGCCTGTCGGGTACCAAATGGATTACCAAAGGCTTCTACGTTCCTAATACACCAGGCCACTGAGACAATTACAATTCGCCTAAAACAACCGATTTTCTACGCGTGTGTGTGTGTGTGTGCGTATGAAACAAGTTCAGTCAATATTGCTAGCCTGACCTACTATGGAATCTATATAAATTCATAAATACTGTATTACATAGAACCTTATAAGTCTGACCTTCCGTGCTGTTTATATAAATTTCTCTACCCACTATTGCTGCACTTACATAAACAAAACTAGTTTCATATTTTCAACCTTAGTATTTCAATTACACACAGACATACATATATAACCAACCGTCTATCCAACTATCATTCATCCTTTACAACCAGTATGAATAGAGTTCAATATGAACGTTAGTCATAAGCATTCATTACTATCTATTCACTGTTATTCCTAGTCATTTACTTTGAAGTACTCGTGTTCACTTCAGTGATGCATTTAGGCATATTATCACATGCCCACATATTTTGAATTATTAACTATTAAAAATCTTTGGAGTTTTGATGACAGTGATTCGATGTTATTTTAAAAACAACAACAATCTTGTCAATATCAATAATTATCTCATTATTATGGATACATATAACCAGACGATGATGAAGTGATCGTAAAGAATATTCTTTGTCCTTTGAACTTATGAATGCAAATTTATCTTTTACATGTAAAAAGCTGAAAAAACAGCACTGCACAACTCAGTCAACCTTGACCATGATACTAAGTTCATCCCTCGGTATCCTGGTAACTTGCAGCCTTTTTGTTCCTTGTGGTATTATTTCACTTGTCCCCCCTTATCGTTTTAATTCTCTCTCTCTCTCTCTCTCTCTCTATATATATATATATATATATATATATATATTCAAATATTGGATTTTGTTTGATTGCATGGAGGATTTAATCATGAGCAGAAGTTAGAATTCAAGGACCATTGGATTGGGTCCCAGTGGCTCAATGGTCTACGAGCTCGCCTTGTAACCAGAAGGTCCTGGGTTCGAATCCCGGTGGGTGCGTACTGCTGAGGAGTCCCAAACTAGGACGAAACGGCTGTCCAGTACTCCCAGGTTTTCCAGTGGTTCTCTAACTGATGTCAGCTCATTATTAAATCCTCCATGCAATATATATATATATATATATATATATATATATATATATATAGAATAGCTTGGTGGTTGAATGCTTTCTAGTCGCCACCAACGCAAGAGCTCTCAGTTCGCCTCTCCATCTACTCATTTCCGCACGACTAGACCCCACCTAGCTAACCTATGGTAAAAATGAAACTTCGAACGAAGATTGAATGTAAGAAATAAAAATAGAAACTAACTTTTGGAACATATTCACTATGTTCATGGACATCATTTTCCAAACTTGACTCCTGTTGTATAAGAATGACACAATGCCAGTTGTTGGTCATAAATGTTATAGTGCTGGAATATATGTTCAAGTGGGGCCACCAGACTTAAGACCTTACTCAGACAGATCTTTTTCTGGTATTCAACCATCCTGACAAAGCAACTTTACTCAAAACGATACCACGAAACTGTTAAAAATGCATTAATTTGTTAGTAAATATCTGATGATCTTCAACGCAGAATGGCCATCATATAAATATACGAGATATGATTTATTCATCTTTAGTAATGGATATTATACACGCCCGCCTTAAAGCCAAACATGTAAATCGGATAATTGACGCAATGATACTAATTTTACTTTGTACTACCAGGGGGGGGGCATGTTCCGCTAAAAAATTCAGTGTAAGACGTTAACTAATACTATTACAGAGCTGAAAGTAACCATAGATGACAGCACCAGAAGTCATAAATTTGTTGATTAGGAGGGTAGCAGGTGGTTGTACAAACTCAGCTATGACATATAGTAATATCAAACTGAAATTGAGAAGCACAAATGACCAAATCCAAGTTCCAGGCACATAGTTATCGCATTTTATAAGAGTATGGGAGAAGTTTATTTCTGAGCCAATATTTCTACTCTTCATTCACTACAATACCTTAGCTGAATTCGGTGTATTTCATTGAAATTCAAAGAAATCTGTGGTCGACAATAAAGGAAATAAACACAGATGATCTATAATAACAAGTCCCTAAAAGTTTAAGTGATAACGTACTTTATATTTATGTGAAGTAATCCTATTTGGGACTTGTCAGCCAGACATACTTACATTCCCAGTGAGCGATGGTGTTCCCACTGGGACTCGAAAGCAGCACCCACTTCCAAAGGCTTTATCTACTCGGCCATTGGAATACACAACAGCCGCTTCTTATAGAATATGAGTAATGTAAAAAAGTAATTATTATTAATATTCGAAGATGACCTTATAACAGTGTCCAAATTTACTATTATTCAGTAAAGAAAAACAGTTACCGGAATATCGATAAGTTCTGTACTTGCCTATGTTTCTGTCTTATTTCAAGAATTCTTCGAAGAATATTCGGATTTCATAGCTTGATGTTGATAGTCTGATCGTTCAGTCTCTCATAGTAAACCACTTAAGATCGAAAGAAAGTCACCGCTAACGCAACACATACATTACATGGCATAAATACTCTCCGTGGGAACAGGGTATGAGTTCTCAGACAGTTGTTCTTCCTCATCCTCCTTCTCCTCCACTCACTACTATGGTCGCCCTCACACGACACATCTTTTGTTATGACTAAATGAATATCAAGCTGAGAGAGTATCACCTATCGGCCACCTACAACACATTTTCATTTTAGAACAATGAGTTATGCTTAGTAGAACTTTATTCATTTTAGTCAGTATAAGCAAACTTTCATATAAATAGTAATAATAATAATAATTATTATTATTATAATAACGATAATAACAATAAGGATAATAGAGATTGTACAGCCTAAACAGAAGTGAAGCTTTTATAGATAGAGTGGCCAACAGAAAACTGTTCTTCCTCCTATTCAAACACATGGACTCATCTGTAGTAGTAATAGGAATCATTATGAATGATATGAAGACTGATACTGACCAAAAATAGTAATAATAACAATAACAATCATAATAATAATAATAATAACACACCAAACTGACTGAAGGCAAAAATCTTGCTCAAACCGTAAACATATAACCACTGAAAAGCTGCAATTACTTTGTGTCAATTGTAATTTGTGTAAATATGATTTATTCAAAAAAAAAAAGCGTTACTCTCAAAAACTGGCATTAAAATAAAAGCATCTGCAGTTGGGAATACGTCGCGATTGCACAGTTATTGGGGTACAAAGAAAAGCCAAGCGTAGAATTAATGGTGATCCGATATATATATATATATATATATATATATATATATATATAAAGGCATGTCAACAACTTCTATGGGGACATCAACAAAACAAATGAAGATGGAAGGCAATGCATATGAAGACACAATGCGACTTACAATTTAATATAACATGCACATAATATATGTAAACATTTATAGATCAGGCGTAGAAATGATGAACATGTACGTCGGCAGTTAGGAGGATGTCACATTCAAGAGGATATTCGTGGAAAAATCAGCTGATCAAATTAAATTCAGTTATTCAGTTAGCAATATTTATATATATATGCATATTTAGCTTATATTTGATTCCATTTAACCGCGTGTTGTGCGCACCACAACTCTGTCTGTACGTACTGATACACAACGTGAACTCAATATAGCCAAGATAGCTACTTGCATTGCAAAAACTCCGCCAACAGTAGCCAAAAAGTACGACCAAGTGTGATCAAACTTCCCAGTGTACACTAGAATACCGGTTATTAAACAGGCTGTGCCTAGATACAGTAGTATAAAACGTGCAGTCACGTAACCAGCACTAGTGACTAGTACATCTGAACACAATCCAATCAGATCTAGAAGGAAGACTACTGCCAAACAGATAACACCGATAAGCATTAATGCAATGACAGCAATAATCACATCTTTTGAATATCCTCTCTGGCATGAATCGAATAAGCCTCCACATCTCCACTGTGTTGTAGCCATACCGATGACGACTAGTGATATGGCAAGGCCAAGAAGTATAGTGGACAAGCGTCGTATTTCAATCATACTTTGAGATGAATAATAGTAGTAATCCCAATTGCCAACAGCACAGTAGAGCTTGTATGCGAATTACTAACACAACTGGGAATTGTGTTTTAAAAACAACGAAAAATTTGTTTTCTTATCCATATAAAAACATCAGCACACTTGGTCACACACACCAATCAAGCCAATCGAAACCACACAATCACACAGCCCAATAGGGGTGTTGTGATTATTTGATGTGTTAATAATAATAATAATAATTGTATTTGCCTCATTTAAGCCTGGCATGATGTTATTATTCCAACCAGCCAATGATAATTTTGATTGGGCGTAGATAAACTGTCCAGTAAAAATACTGTTCTTGTAAATATCGATCCAGCAGTTTAAGCCAATTAGCTTTCGAATTATTAGCATTATTATCATTGTTCCGTAATTCACTAATCACGCGCAGTATAATTTCATAATACACTGACCAACCAACCGATCGACCGGCGTTCAGAGCAGATGACCTTCAGCCCAATTTGTTAGTGAATTTACAAAGTGGGTTAATCCACACAACACACACACACACACTTAAAGGAAGGCATAAGTGTTATTTTTGTATTCCGAGTGAAAAACCCCTTGAAACAATTCGATTAGTACTTTCTTCAATTGTTGGGAATTTTTGTTTATTTTCGACCAACGCTATATAATAGGTAGTGATGGTTTTTGATAATGTACAGAATTGCGAACAGCAAATGAAATGAGGAAATAAAATGTTATTAACGGACCACTTAAACAGAAAGTGTTTTGATCACTGCATCAATACAATTGTTAGGCAGTGAACTGGAAATTGGAAATAAATAAGTTGGTGTAGAAGGGAATGATCTCCCTGTGTCTTTACTAAGCGTGTAAATTTATTATCGACTGATTACGTCACCTAGTTACTTTTCGTGAAAATAAAAGGTTAGCGTACCCAGTTTTCGTTTTCAGCCTTTTTTTTTCCTCAGTCCTTTCCGGCCGTAACAGAAAATAAGGGACAGGAATATGAGTTATTGCAAATGAAACTTGCCACACTTTCATCTCAGTATATTTGTTTAGGTAGAACGGAGGCAATCAGTTACGACTTGAATTTATTCAGGTAGTTGATTTTGTATCACTTGCCTACGTGAATGCCATGATGAAATCATATGTTACATTTGGCTGTTTTAAAGTTGTTGCATCAATCATTTTAAACAGCTAGAATATCTATACAGTTGGTGGATGGTGGCTAGCAGTGGAATCCAGGATAAAGCGCATTTCGTCCTATTTGGGACTCGTCAGCTGGATGTACCTGCATTTCTCAGTGAGTGATGATGTTCCCACTGAGGCTCGAACCCAGTGTCCATAGTTTCAAACGCCAAAGCGTTATCCACTAGACCACTTGGGCCACGAGAGCCACCTCTTGTGCAACGGGTCATATTAATTATTGAATTGAATTTTCGATTTTCCCGTCGATTGATTGGACCGAAGTGCTCCGTCTCAGGTTGACATGTCGGCTTCTTGTGCAGATGCTTCGACGACGATGATGTCTGGGCATTTAATTAGTATACAATTAGTGGATGGTGGCTAGCAGTGGAATCCAGGATGCGCATTTCGTCCTATTTGGTACCCAAGTGGTCTAGTGGATAACGCTTTGGCGTTTGAAACTATGGGTAATGGGTTTGAGCCTCGGTGGGAACATCATCACTCACTGAGAAATGCAGGTACATCCAGCTGACGAGTCCCAAATAGGACGAAATGCGCTTTATCCTGGATTCCACTGCTAGCCACCATCCACTAATTGTATACTAATTCAATACCCAGACATCGTCGTCGAAGCATCTGCACAAGAAGCCAACAGACATGTCAACCTGAGACCGAGCACTTCGGTCCAATCAATCGACGGGAAAATCAAGAATTCAATTCAATAGCTAGAATATCTATTTTATCGTTTGCTGTACTATTAAGCGAAAAAACCTCTCCATAGGTTTTATCCTCACCTAAAATAAGGCTTGAGACTTTGACTTTTGAAGTCTCTTTAAAGAAGTTGGTGTTGTCTTTTGTGACTAATCTAATCAGTTACACTCATGTATATAAATGAAAGAAAAAAGTTGTGTGAGTGATGCCTTGATATTATTATGAGCAGTAATAAATTGTGCTCGAAACACGTCATCATTTAATATTACTGTATAACACTGTGTGTGATTTATCAAAAGAAAAAATCTTATCCATAATAGAATTTAAACTCTACCACAGTGCCCAGGTTTTATACTTATACCAATAATTTTGTGACTAGGTTGCTAACCTCATACCCAACCGTTACTCCACTCCAGGCTTACTATCAGCTACTAAACTAGGCCAAGTTTATGCATGCGTCGATTGATTACAGTTCAACTAGTGTTTCAGTAGTCAGTCTGACTGATGTTTCCTTGAAAAACTTTAGACCATGCACTAATCTTAGAAGTTATATATGACTGGATAAAGCACACGAAGTAGCTGTGACTCATCATTAACTCAACTTATAATTTATTCAGTGACAGTCTGAGTTATTGTCAGTAAAAAAAATAATAAAAAATACTTTACAGAAGGAATTAGGCAATCGAGTTGTATTTTTTTCGAGGGAAATTAACTCTAGGATGATGAATGTTCATGGCGTGGAAACAGATAGGAGAGCAATACAGGAGACTTTCAGTTGTGTTTATGATCAGAAACATCATGAGTCGAGGTCATAAATCAAACACAACTTACTAATTAACCAGCCAAACATGTTCTACCTGTCTTATTTGCTTTGTGCTAAAAAATTACATTTCAAGGGGATCGTGTAAATATAAAAGGCGATAGTGAACAAAGGCGTGTCTTGACCCATCAGTCATCATGCGTTGATATCCATTCTGTATGACATTCTGATAATACTATGAAGCATGAATGTAACAGTGAATTGTTTAAAGAGATAACCTACTTACCTATTGTAACTCGACTTACATAATCCTGTGAATGAATTATTATGATTATTCCTTTGGATTCCGAGTGGAACAAAGGGCTTCGGTAGTACAACACCGTTTCACTCTATTCCCTGCACTCCCTTTTAGCTGGCTCCCCGATGGTCCATAAGCTTTCATCTTATCCTCACACGATCTCACCCTTATCAGCCTGTGACCTACTCCCAACTCGTCCTTTTCCATTCAAGTTCCACGCGATGGTCTGTCTGGTATGCTATGTCACTCAGCTGTATTCTCAGCGTGTGTCCAACGCGTCTCCATTTTCTTATGCATACTTATTGGCTAAGTGATAGGTTCCTGGTTGATTCATTGCCTGAGTTCCTTACTGTTGGTCATCTGGTCTTCAGTATGGATCCATCGAAGACAGGTGTTGATAAAAGTCTACATCCGCTTGTTCAAAATACCTTTGGTGATCTATCTAGAAGCACTGACGAACTTGACATTAATGTTGGAAATCCGGGTCTTGTTCTTTATGCTAAGTGTAGCGAACTTCCACACAGATTTAGGATTATTAAAGGTCTTTCTTGCCTTTCTAATCTTGACGGGTTGGCTTTGATATACTCATCCCTGCCTCCAACTACATTTGGAAGAATGCTGACTAGATGAGTGAAAAGCTGACTTCCTTCAGATTTCTCCCGTTCATGGTGATTGATGCTTCTTGTTGTTATTGTAATTACCTTTTTCTTCTGCATATTCACTCGAAGTCCCATTTTCACTGCCTGCCTCTCCTGACAACCTGTTGATTTTCGCCTTTAGATGCTTGAGTTTTTATGACATCAGACTTAAATTATCTGCGATATCCAGATCGTTTGTAGTCTCTCTCTCTCGTCCCAGCTCATACCCATCCTTTAATTCCCTATGGTCTGTTGAGTGATGCAATCCACCACAGTCAGGAATATCGTTACTGAATATATGCATGCTTGTATTGCTCTTCTATCTTCGCTTCAAAGGATTCCTCTAGCTTTTCGTTGTGAGTCTTTTTGACATCTGGCACCCTCATCATCATAAAGTCAAGTAAACATTTCTACTGATTTGAATACATTTTTCTAAATGGCGACAATTTATTCTGCCTAGTGATACACAGACATCTAGATAAAAGTCTGAAATAATCAACTCTTTCTGTTTAAGTCTGTCACATGTTAGTGAAAAAAGACAGATGACATTGCACCCCCATATGTAAAATTGAGTTACGTTGATGTTGTTTTTATTTTCAGTGCCAATGAATGTATTGATCACAATCGAACAAACATACATTGTTACTTATATTGGGGGTGAAGTTATATTCTCTCAGCTGGATAATTTTTCATGGCAAAGCTTTCATTACATTTCTAGACAACATCAATTTAGCTTAGACACAAAAAGATTGAGGACAAACTGAAACATTCTTATCTTTGAACAGGATAAGACGGCAATGTATGATGGCTGTCTTCCGGAAAAATGGATATCCATAAAACTATATTTAAAAAAATACCTACTCTGAACCCAACCCAACCAACCAGCTGAAAACCATCTGATGAAATCATAAAGACAATCTTCCTACCATATTATAATGGATATCTCTGAAATCACTGCAAGACCACTGAAATCGTTTTGGAGTAGACGTCACACACAAACCCACGCAATCAAATCATTGTTTACTATATCAGCCAGTTACATCGGGTATACACAATTAGGCATGTTCACCATTGGATTTCTGAAAATCATCCTGCATAGTGGTCAAGCGACCGATAAACAAAGTCTATTCTCAGTTCTGTTTCACTTCACAACACAACAGGGCTTTTAAAATTATCCATCGTATTCCGAAGGTAAACCTTAATTTTGACTTACAGTTTCGTCATTTACATACAGAGCTGACGCTACCAGAATCCACATGAAGAAACCCAACTTTAGTGTTCAAAGAAAGTGTGTTGCAACACTTCCCTTACCTTGGTTATCACTACATGAATAGAAAAAGCTGACAGTTTCACCGAATAAATCAAGAGCAACAGTTTGTGCAGAATATAAGAAGGTAGTACGACAGTT